TATATATATATATATACACAGACACACACACATAGACTCATTTCTTTTAAGTATATATATGTATGTGTACATATATATGCTCATTTATTTTAGTGCAGGGTCTACATGGTCTCACTACATAGAATCGGACTCATAGTGATCTGCCTGTGTTCAGCCTCCCAAGAGCTGGGATTTCAGGGGTGCACCACCACACCCAGTCTCAATCACTGTCTCAGCATGCCCTGGAGGCAGGGCCAGCACAGGAATCGAACCCTGGCCGCTGTGTTTGTCAAAAAATATTAGTTGAAAAATAATAACCTCACTATTTTTTTTTTTTTAATACCTAGCTGTTTAACAGAAAAGTAGTTAAGTAGTTTTGTATTTTATGTATGTTTTTATTTTGTTTTTGGTACCAGGAGTTTAACTCAGGATCTTGTATTTGCCAGGCAGGTGCTGTGCGCTGAGCTTAATCTGTAGCCTAGTAGTTTCATAATTTAAGTTTTCTAGTTCTTTCCACCATAACTTCTGTTCCATTTTCAATTAAAAGCTAATAAAATGTTTTGAGCACTTTATAATATTTTGAATACATTTATAATATTTTGATTTTCACATTAGATTTTTAATAACCTTTTTATTATTTGACTCAGTAGATATAGTATGATTTATTTCAGAGAATTTGGATTGCAACTTAGAGATGAAAATAACATTTGTAATGTAAAATTATATAATGTAATTTATAATGTAAAATTATTTTTCTATTGCATCTATGTAGTAATATCAAATGTTGAACAGGTTTAACATTGTTACACTGAGTGGATCTTTGTGAATATGCTTTATGTGGTGGGAAAGTTGACACAGAAAATGCTGTTTAGTATTTTCTAAATTACGGTATTATATCGCCCATGATTTGTTAAACCCGACAATCTCACTATATGGTTCTTGTGGGGTATTGCGTATTATTGTGTGTATGTGTGTGTTTGCTTTTGTATATCTCTCTTAGCGTTGCTTCCCACTGTTTTAACAAATGTTACTTACATGGTTACGGTGACACTTTGTATTCCATGAATGGACTAGAAAAGACAGACATATTATTATATTGAATTGCCATCCTATAAGCAGTTTCATTTAAGAAGACATTTTGAAGAAATGTTATTAGTCTTTATTTTGCTTTCCCATGCAGTGGTGCTGCTGATCTGTCTTGGTATAATGGAGTGTTACAATTAAATGATATATAATTATGTAGAAGACTGTCCAATTTTAGAAAACACATTTCTTTTAAGTCTTTTTTTCCTAGCTTAAAGCAGTGATTGTCCAGAATCTAATCTATAAAGCAATATTAATTCTGATATTCTAACAGTTGCACTTATGGTACAGGATAGGTCTTTTTTAATAGATGGATTTATAGATGAATATGTGCAGAAACTTGTTTATAAATCTGCCAGTTATGTACAATTAAAGGTTACCTCTGATCTGCATTTTCTGTGTAAAAGTGGTATCACTTATATGTTATCAAACCTAGGCCTGCAAAAGCTGAGATTTAAACTATCAAGCCTGTGATATCATTTGAGAAGTGAAAAATAATCAGTTATGTTAGCATGTTTGAGCTAGTTATCACTGAAGTACATGGACTTTTTCAAAAAACAGACGTCTCTTGAAATTTTTTCATCTCCTGTTCCTATCAAATTGACCATGAAAGTGGCACTGATGCAGTTTTTTTTTTTTTAATGAAATTGTTTAAATAGAAAATACTAATAAAGGAAAAATAGAATCTATCTGTGGAAATTTTTACACCTTCAAAAATGGAAAACTGCTTAAGGGAAAGTTCTGCCTAATAAATTGTAAAGCCTTGTTTCCTAGTACTGTATTCCTTGAGTTCTTGGAGGAGCATAGCTTAATTTTTTTTGAAATAGACATTTTTTTGGCACAAAAAAAATGACTCCGATTTTTTAAAGTCTGGAATGCTAAGAAAAGCAAACTTAGTTGCATTAAATCTAAAAAACAACTTAGGAACATAAATAAACAATATATATCATGAATATACAAGAAAGTATGTGTATGTACCCACCACCGCCACCCTGTTCCTTGTTTATTGAGACAAGATCTCACACTGCAGTGTAGGCTGGCCTTGAACTCACTTGTGTAGCCCAGGCTGCCCTGGAAACCACAGTGACTCTTCTACTCTGTCTCCCTTGGTGTGCACCACCATGCCTGGCTCCCCCATTCCTTTTTCAAAATACAGAGAACATCTATTAACATCTTTCAAAGTTAAATAGAAATTAAGTTGGAAAATCCTGATGTGGAGAAATAAAAGTCTCTAGAGAGTATGTTCCTTTAAACAGATTGTATAAATATCTGAAAGGAAACTTGTGAATAAAAATAGATGTAAAGTTCAATAAATTAAATATACAAATTAATATTTACCATTTACCATTCATTACCTCCTAGAAATCTTGCCAGTTATATTGTATAATAAGTTGAGATAAAATACAACTTTTAACGTAGCACTGGTCATATAGTGCCTGTATGTTTTAAGTGATGTTAAATACAAATTTTATGGACAAGATTAAGAGTTAATACAAACTTTGTAAACATACTAGTGAAATTGTAAAAGCAAGCTTGAAAAGTAATAAATACTTACATAATTTATGTAATGCAAAATGCTAAGTAGTCAAGATTAGAACAATTATAACAGCTTAGTCTTTCTAGATATACCTAAGTGTCTTAAAAGAACAGATAATCTTGATAAATGGCCTTAATTTCTTTTTTTTCTTAGCATCTTAATTTACTTTTTAACTCAGAAATAACTTCGTTAATATTTCAAAGATATAGATAACTTTTAGCAAACAAATCCTAGCTAAAACTTTTATTGCTCAAAGTTTAAATTCTTGGTGGGAAGGAAAAAATAGTTTAGTAACTATTGGGTGTTTCTTTTTATCTTTGACAATTACAAAGAAACAAAATGTATTTTTTAATTGGTGGTTTCATTGCTATTGTTTTTGAAGTATTATTTTTATGTTTATGTTCTAGGCTTTTTTGTCCAAGGTTTTCCTAAACTCTTGAGGTATCAAGAACATCATGAAAAAATACTGAATAAATTTCTGTCTAAGCTTAAGCAGCATTTGGTAGGTAGATGTGTTGCTGGCTTTACTCACCTGCACTAGGAATGAGGCTGCAATCCTTTTGTCTTTGGTCAGCTATCTTATTACTCTATACTGTCACCCATTTCATTTGTTATGCTATTTTAATTCTCATTTCTTTGAAGAACAATAGATTTGTAAATTTTAATGTTGATGCTCTGTTATGGTCCTAAATTATAGTTTCCGACTTCTTTAATGCTAATAAAATACATTAACGTTTTTAAAGATCCATGACTTCTCAGTGAATTTTGAGGGTTTTTTTTAAATACACAAATTAATTCCTTGTGAGCTATATATATATACTGCCTTTAAAATATACTAACAAATATGAACTGCCTGTAAAACATATTAACAGATATCTGAATGTATAACAGTACTTTCAGAAGGAACTTATTCTTAGGGAAATTTTGAGAAGTAAAATTTTGGAAGAAAAAGTAAGAATGGCAAACAGCATGAAAAGGATACATAACAAGATGGTTTTATATGTAGATTTAATACTTCCAATAGCTTCCTAACTTTTAGTATTATATTGTCATAATTTGTTTGCTGCAATCCAGAAATCATGAGGTCTTTGTATTTTCAGGACTCTCAAGAAATCTACACAAGTTTTTATACAATGAAGTGGTTTTTTCAGTGTTTCCTTGATCGAGTAAGTATTTATTTACAAAGCTTAATTATAAGATTATAAATACAAGGTGAGGGGAAACTTAACCTTTCTTCTGTTTTGTTGTAGACTCCCTTTACACTAAACCTCAGAATATGGGATATCTACATCTTTGAAGGAGAACGAGTTCTTACTGCTATGTCTTACACAATCTTAAAATTACACAAAAGTAAGGAAATATTTATAAAGATTTTATAAGATATGAAGGCTTATTTTAATTCTAATGAATCCCCAGTCTACGTCAGATTCATTGCCTTTTAGTAGTAGCTTAAGAAAATTCTTAAAAATAAATGGAGAAATTATCTTCAGTTGCTAATATAATTTCATTGGGTTTTCTGATGACTAGAAGCTCAACATCATTACAGAGATCTTTTATTGTCCTCTTATTTTTACATTTAAGCATGAAAATGTAATTTGTTAATTTCACTAATACTTTTTAAATATTTTAAAAAATCATTTATTTGGTATAGGGTAGCTCAGACTCATAGTGATCCTCCTGTCTCAGCCTCCCCAGAGCTGAAATTACAGGTGTGCTCCACCACACCTAGTTTTGATGAGCCAGCATGGCAGCATGGCATGTGGTACCAGGGATCAATCCCCGGTCCTTGTGCTTACCAGGCAGGTGCTTAGACCACTGAGCTAGCCAGTGTTCCCCAGCCCCTATTTTTTAAGTATTGTTCTTTACTGGGCTCCTTATTCTTTTCACTAATCTGAATTTCAAAAGTTTGTAGTAGAACAGAGAAAGCAAAGAATCTGCAGGGGCTGGAGAAGACATTTCTTTCACTGTGGCAAGGCGCTTGCAGATCCAAGTCCCTGGACTGTGTCGTGGCCTGTGGGACAAGCACCAACTACATCTGTGGCACACAGCTTTTCCTTGGAAGGAAAGCAGGCATGAAGACTTCATTTTATTCTAAGGGCTCTGTAAATGTGATTTACCAGTATTTACTTTAAAATTTAAAAATGAGAGTTTTTCATTATGAATATGAAGACATATTTGTCTTTAAAGTTTCAATTCAACTTTAAAAATTATGCAGTTCCTCCAGTAGCTATACGGAGGTTGAACCATTGAAAGCTTTTGGAACTTCATAAAGTGCTTGTAATCTAGGCCACGTCACATAGTTTCATATTCATTTTATATTCTCATATTATCTCTGAATGATCTGTTCAGCAAGGCAGCTGAACTGTAAGCCAGTTTAGTGCATGGGGTCATGCTTATAATTTTTCTATTTCCCGTGCTTGTTGTTAATCCAAGTACATGTTAGGTGCTTAGATACAGGGTTGTGGGGTTGCTTACGTGAACAGAACAAGCTTCAGGAGGGCCAGATTAACCCGACTTTACTTGGGAACAAGGACTTTCAATACAAGACACCCCTGTATTATTTTGCACTTTTCAAAAAGAATTCAGAAGCATTGTAGCGTTCATTGCAAGCATTTCTCTTGCCCCCAGCCCTTGTTTCCCCAACAAGGAAGCTCAGAAACAGAGTAGTTGGCAACTCGAGTTTCTGAGGTTTCTGACAGCCGGGTGAGATCCCTTTCTCTTTCCCTTCAGCCTCAGTGCACTTTCTTCACTTCCCTTCTCTTTCTGGATTATAAATAGATGAAATTATAGAACAAAACTATACTTTTTGTTAAGAAATATTAAATTTTTTCTAAACAATAAAAAAGTAGAATTATAATGTTACATTTCTTTGCAGCTCTTTTTTTCCATTTATTTTGCTTATATGTCTCTTGGTCAGTTTTCAAAGTGAAAAGTTTCCTCACCCTTTGTAAATAAACTTTAAGCACAAATTACTTCATATGGCAGAATATCTTTTGGCTAAACAATGGAAAACCCTGTTTTCTACTGTGTCTTTTCTTAGGGACCCAAAACTCAAGATTTAAATGTATTTCCTTCAGTGTCACCAAGTGTCAAAACTGAATAACAGTTGGAGATCAGGGGGGATGGGGAGATGTTTCTCATGGGATCTGAAGTTCCAGTGCAGCAGGAGGAATGCCTTCTGTGGCTCTGCACATAGCATAATGACTGTAATTGATAGTATTATATAGCGGGGCCGGGGAGATGGCTCAGTAGGATAAGCGCTTGACTGGCAAACGCAAGAATCTGAGTTCAATCCCCGGTTCCGCCAAAAAAAAAAATAATAATAATATTATATAGCATACATGAAAATTGCCCCAAGAGCAAATGTTCTTATCACAGAGATAAGTTTGTTCAGTGATGAATATATCAACTAGGTTGATTCAGTCATTTTACAATGGTATCTATATATCAGAATATAACATTGTACATCATAAATATAGTCTTTCATTTGTCAGTACAAAAATAAAAATTGGTCATTTGGCACTTCAGAGAAAATAGAAAAACCTCTTTCTGAGTACTTTAATCAGTAGGTGCTTGTTAGATATTCTCTCTCTCTTTCTCTGTCTTTCTCTCTTTCTCTCTCTCCCTCTCCCTCCCTCCCTCCCCCTCTCCCTCTCTGTCTCTCGCTCTCCCTCTCTCCTTCTTTCCCCCTCTCTCCCTCTCCCTCTCCCTCTCCCTCTCCTTCTCTCTCTCTCTCTCCCTCCCTCCTTTCCCCCCTCCCTGATTGCCTTTAAACTATTTAGACACATTATTGCTGGAGTTTTGTCAATGATTCTAAATACAGTAATTTTAAAAATGAGAAATAATCTAAATGCCCATTGTTAAATGACTAAGCAAATTATTATGCATACATTGTGCCATAATGTCATTATTAATGGTGATATAAAATGGTGTTTGTTGAAGTGAGAGCTAACAGTGGTATGTTATTGTATGAGAACAAAAGCAGGAAGATGAGTAACCTGTATAATTTGGTTCTCTAAATTCATATACACACAGGACTATACACATCTACTTGTGGGGCATTGAGTAATGTAGTCTTAGCAAATGTTTGCTTTTTGTTTTATGACTGAAGTTTTTTTCATTAAAATTCATTTTATAAGTAGATATAAATCCAAAAATAAAATTAATGATTGATTCCTGGAAAATTCTGAAACTATATGGACTTATAAGTAAATACAGACTAGTAAATTATGAATTTAAAGTGGTTTTACCTATGGCCATTGGAACTTTGAATCAAGAGACAAAGGCCTCATGTCTTCCTGGTTTTCTATGTCTGTTCCTATGAAGCTCTTGCTCTGGGCTCTATTAGTGCCTGGATATGGTTACCTTGAAGGCAGTAAGAAGGTATTTGACAATGTTTGCCCTTCCCCTTTGCTCCCCAGTACAATGAACTTGCTTTTATGTGACTTTTTAAATCAGACAGTGTTTGTTTCCATGAGTATCAGTGATATTCACTGTGCTGTATTAAAGTGATAATGTTTGTTCTTTTTAAAGCCACTTTTAAAAAGTACTGAAAATATATTATCTTTTCAACCAAAAATAGTTTTTGACTCAACATTTGTATTTCTTTCATCCTTTCTTAGAACATCTAATGAAGTTGTCTATGGAAGAACTTGTAGAATTTCTTCAGGAGACTCTATCAAAAGACTTTTTCTTTGAAGATGATTTTGTAATAGAACAACTTCAGATTTCTATGGCAGAACTAAAGAGGGCCAAGTTAGACCTCCCAGAACCTGGTAAGAAATATCCCTATACTTTGAATTATAATTAAGACTGGAAGACATGGTATAACTAACATGGATTGTTTTCCAAGCATAAGCATTATACTTGTGATGGGATAATAGAAATCAGCTTTTATTTTCTTAAGAAAAAGCAGGTAAACGTATTAACTAAAGTTCCCTCTCCTAATAAGAAAAAAACTATGCTGCTCCTACTCAAATTTTGAAATTTGATTGATAAATACTATTATGTAGAAGTAACCATAGTGTTATTTAATAGTATAATAAGAAGGACTCTTTCATCATCTAATTTTCTGAAACTGTGCACAGTAGTAGAGCACATGAAGCCCCAGTTTATAGATGAGGAAAATGATGCTAAAATATGAAGGTGCAGAATCATCAAGTAGCATTTCTGAAATTAGAATTCAGGGTTTGGTGTTTTTTTGAAATAGGGCCTTAGTATGTAGTTCAGCTTTAAGCTCCCTGTGTAGTCCAGGCGGGCCTCGAACTCATAGTGCTCCTCCTGCCTCTGTCTTCCAGGTGCTTAGATTACAGATGTACACTACTACACCCAGCAAGTTCAGTTTTTCCAATAAGCATTCCAGAGCTCTGCCATAGACTGCAGTTTAGATAATTTTTTTTTTTTTTTTTTTTTTTTTTGAGGCTCGAAATGCCTTTAGGGCATTTCTGGTTTTCAGTGACTGTCTGGGTTCGAACCAAAGAAGCTTGAGCTTGAGGGCTTTGCTTAAGCAGGCACTTAAACAACTGAGGTATTGGGCAGGCCCCCTAGATAATTATTTTATTCACTTCAAAGCATTCTTCAACACCTGCTGATGGGCTTTCTGATAAGTGTTCTGAGTAAGAAACTGGTAACAAATGGGAGAAGGGTGTATTGCTCTCGGTATACACACAGGGAAAATGGAATGCACACAGAGGACAGCCACAGTGGGAATGAGTCTGTAATGGAGCTAGAACAAGAAGTGTGGAGAGAAGACAGGTAGTGGAGGAAGAAAGGCAGAAAAAAGAAAATACAGAGAGAGCAAGTAGGGATAACTTTAAAGATGTTGTTTGGCAGAGTGATATCTTGGGAAGTTACTTTTGCCTTTTGTTACCTTTGTAGCAGGGGACGGGACGGGACGGGACGGGACGGGACGGGACGGGACGGGACGGGACGGGACGGGACGGGACGGGACGGGACGGGA